AAATACAAATATTCTAGCCCAAAATGAGAAACTAAACATACTGCTCTAGAAAATTTCTTTGAAAGCTTTAGAAAGTTTTTTGAAACATAGAGAAGAGAAACAAATCCTGTGTTACTGGTAATTTCCATGGTGACACAAAGAAAATACATTCTTTTAATTTGGGGAATTTAGAAAAAATGGGATGATCTCTCCAGGAAAAACATGTGTAACATCTATTTGTCACTCTCTTTCCTTCCTCCCCGTCCTCACCACTTTCCCTTGAGTAAATTGCCTGGGAAAGTATGAAGTTTGCTCCAACAGCCCTATGGTTCTTGCATTTTCCTCCCTTGTGAAAATGTAACTACAGTCGTGAGTGAATTTGGGACGTAGAAAGGTGGTGGAACCAAATTGTGGTCAATGGAAATAGGAGTATATGCTTCTCACTCTTGAGAGAAACCTAAGATTAGCCCACGTAACAGCCCATGAGCTGTTTTTCTGCCTGGGTTTGATATAGTTTGGAGTTGGGTTCAGAGTAAGATCTCAGCTCACCAGGACAAAGAGACAGACTATCAACTCTACAGTTAACTAGGAGGCTATGTTCCATGTTTATCTGGTAAAGCAGTGCTTGTTCATGGGAACAACACTTCATCTTACGCCGCCCCCAAACACACACGCACACACACACACAAATTTTCTTTCTCTCTGATAGATACCTTTTGAAATGCAGAAGTGAGACATTTCAATAAATTTGCTTTCAAATCAATAAAGTCAAATATATGGAAACATTTTGCGCCCTACTCTCCATACTCCACGTACTCCGATTCTCTATTGTATGAATGATGCTTTAGGTAGATTTCAGTTTTTAGTGCATAAGGAGAAGAACTTAGTGAAAGAGTTTGTTTTTATTTCCATCCTCTACAAAGCCATAGATTTTATTTGATTGATATGATCTCATACACAATATATTTCAATATGATGGAGCTATTAATTACTTCCCCAAGAATAATAGGTGTGCAGAAGTTTCAATAAAAACTTGGCCATTGACAAATCAGTTGATAAACTAATAAGCATCCCTTTCTCGGGCCTTTCCAAACTATCTATCCCATACCAAATTTGATAATTTGAGAATCATTTAAAAGCCTAGTTATGTTTAAAAGGAAATGATTTTTATTCCTGAAACTGTTCCCTCGAACAGACCATTTTCCCTGTTTCCTAGGAATTTAACAAGTTTGGAGGAAAATGGGTCATGAGAAGAAAGGGAAGACAGAAGAGAAGGGAAGTGTCAAAGAAGTGAGTGCCCAGACCTATGAAATTAATTCATTTGCTAGGAAACTTTCAAGAGCAGTTCAGCTTGATTGAAAACCAAACTGCTTCGTACTATCGTCTTCCATATTTGTAGGGAGGCATTTCTTAACTCACAATGCAACGAGAGGAGAAACTTCATTTTAACATCCTAGAAAGCCTTGACTAGAGAAAAGCACAAATATGGAAGATCTCCTTTCCCCACTCAGTTTACATGTACCAGAAAGCAGACAAGGGAGAATGTAGTTTGCAACCTCCAAGCATCCAAACACAAGGGCTGTGCAGCTCTACGTAGGTTTTGGACGTAAGTCTTGGTGCATCTTGGTATCTCCTGACTGTGTTGCTATTGGAGCACTCTGGTTTTCTAGCCTCTTCATTCCATTAGATAAGTATGTATTTAACATTTGCTTGGCACAAGGCTCTTTAGTTAACAATTTAGCAGCTGCTCTGTGTGTTAAATATACTTTTCACCAAATAGTTCTTATGGCAAACCAGAACGATAGATATTCAAAGAAAGGCTTTCCCAGCACCTCTTAACTATCCAGAAACTAAAAAGGTCAACTCTTTCAACTGAGGAGACACTGATGGGTTGAATGGAAACTCATAGCAGAGAGTGACAGGCCAAAAAACAATAAACAAACAAACAAATAAAAGCAAAACACTTTGGAATACTATCCTTAACTCATAGTTTGATAATAATCTTATTTTTCTAGTAATGAAGCTGAAAATTAACCTCTTAATATTCATATCCAGTTTAATAAGCCTCTTGCAAGTTGCCTGTTCTTTCACCTATTTTTCCTCCATACCTCATCCCTATACCTCTCTTCCTCTTCTCCCCCTGCAAGAGAAATTATTTAAAATAGTTGGTTCTAACCGCAGTTATCCAACAATACACTAAAAACACTTAACTTCCTATCTAGGAAAATGTACAGTCTAAGGCATAGACAAAATAAAAAAAATTCTGAGAAATTTGCCACTGGAGACAAGTAATCTAAATAATTTTTGCCAAAACTTTTTATGTCATATAGTATCAGAATTTGAAGAAACAATTTTTTTTTTTGAAAATGATGCAATTTGCAACTCATCTGCATGAGACACAGGCAGGAGAAATAAAGGGTTTATACGTCCATTGTAAGCATTTATCTTATATGTTTTAAATTCAGAAATGATTGTGATTATCCTCTGACTTTTGTATCCAATACTTTATGTACGGTGTGACTCATGCTTCTTAATGAATAAAGCACCAAATGTGTATCTGTAACTACAATCACATATATTAAATATATATCTATATAAACCTCATATGAGTCTTTCTTGACTCCTAAGTATTTTTTATATGAAACATTCTTCCTTAAGATAAGCTTGTTTCTTCACCATGCTGCTTATACCAGGTGAGCCCTTGATTAATTGGGAGAATCGTTCCTAATAAGGGTCAGCTCTGATATAGCGTGACAGCAAAACTCAGAAAGGGAGATGAAAGTGCCTCATTTTCATACACTCTGGTGACTACTTTCTCTTGGATTCAGGTGACAGTAACTCATTGACCCAGCTGCCATCACTGTTAGCAACTGACTGAGCACATTATATCATTTGGATCCTGCAGTATTCAGGGCGTATAGTAATTCCTTTCTCTTTCTGCACTGGTGAAAGATCTGAAAGATTTGAGCAAGTAGCTCCATTCTGTGACCTTAATTGGGTGCCCAGATGGTTTAGGCAATGTGTTAAGATCACAGGACAAGTGGGATTGGAATTGGGTAAAGGGGGAAAATGTATATGCAGAAAGAAGCATGAATAGGAGCAGATTTACAGGGAGAATCCATGTGGAAAGAGATAGACAGAGAGAGATTAAAGAGAGTATCTATCTAGGTCTCTGATAAGTTTCTTGATTCTCATTCCCAGTTCCCATGAGATCTAGCTATATTTAATATGGATATAATGCCCTGGAATCATTTTGATACAACCTACTCTCCTCTTTATTTTAATTATCTTAGATGAGTTTCTGAGCGTTTTCATGGAGAAGTGTTACTGGAGCAAAGATCACTGACACTTCTTTGTCTCCCCCACAGAGAAGTGACATTCTCAAGGTCACTATGCAAATCAGTAGCAGAAAAGAGTTTAGAGACCACGCTCGCCTCGAAGATTTCTTGTTTGGTTCACTAGGACAAAGGAATCGCGTAGGATCCCTCAAGACATTAGGGTTATTGGCTTTAACTTGGGCAAAACATGTTAAATGAACCACTCCCATTCTATCATCTGTTAAAGTCAGGTAAGCCAAGCT